TTTTTAAATAATTGAATTGTTGCGAAGAATTTTATTAAAATGTTTAAAAAGAATTGAATTTCTGTGAAAATTTTGTTATTTTTGAAAAAAATTGAATTGTTCATAAGAATTTTGTGAACATTGTTTTAAATAATTAATTTTTTCGAAATATAATACATATTAGGTATGCACATTTTTTTTAAGTAATTGAATTCTTGTGGAAAAATTTATTTGTGAAAATAATTGAATTTTTCGATTAATTAATTTAAAATAGTATTAAAAATAATTGAAATTCTTCGATGAGTTTTATTATTTATGAAAATAATTGAATTTTTGATGAATTTTATCAATTTTTTTTTTTTAAATAATTGAATTCTTTTGCGAAATTTCTGAAAATACTAGATATTGAAAATAATGGAATTTCGAATATTTTTCGAAAATAATTGAATCGTTTTAAAGAATTTAATTATAATTTTTGAGAAAAAAAAATTTTTTTATTCAAGAATAGTTAAAAAAATATTTTTATCAATGACTTAAAAACTTGAGCTTCGTGCATGATACTTTTAGGTTTATACGCAGTAGAAAGAAAGTCTTATTTTAAGGCATAGCAAGGCAGTCTTAAAATTCTGATGAAACATTTTCAAGTCAGCCAACGATGAATAGCCACAATGGATTTTAGAGGGTTTAACATTGAAGCAGATAGTGTTGAATTTAAGACTTATTTTAACACAGTTTTCTCAAAAAGTCAAAAGTATATCAAATTGATACTAAAGAGGTCAAAGTGAATCAAATTGATACCAAAAATTTGAATCAATTTTTGATTTGATCCACATTTTTTTTTTTTTGCATTATTAACAAGCCCACAGTCAAGAGTATTAAATGGCACTACATTTTTGGTATAAAAATTCAAATTTTTGGTTGTAATTTGATAATTTTGAGTTGAGAGTGTAAGATTTACTTCTTACTGTGTATATAAATGTTTCTCAATGAAAGTTTCGGAAAATTTTTCTGAAAGGAAGAAAAATTTTCCATTAGGCACCAGTGGGAAAATACCCACCCCATGGGGTCAGGGACTTTAAATTTTATTTCTATTTTTCTACGATATGGTAATGCCCGAAATTTTATATACAATGTTTCGAATTCGTAGAATCATTTATTCAAATGACTTAAGTACCAAAAAGAAATTTGATTTTTGAACTATATTTATAAGAAAAAAAGGACCTTTCTCTGAAATTCGTCACAAAATTTTCCACTGAAAATGAATTTGAATAGAAATTCTTTCTCAGGTGCGGAAATTCCGGAAAAAAAACCCCATTTCTTTGAATGAGTAGTAATTTGGAAATTTTTGAAAATTTATGTTAATTTTGAGAAAGTGTTTTAAGATATCAGTATATATATGCGATTGATTTTAATATAAAGATGATAAATGACAGAGTAGATTATATTTGTTGCAGTATATTATTGCACATGATTGAGAGTGATGTTTGCTTGAAAATCATCCAAATGATCAAAGAGGGGGAGTGAGTGAGAGAGAATGTGCGATTTGTCTCTCTTGAGATTGTGTATATGAATAAGAGAGAAAGGGAGAGAGAAGCTGAGAGACAGAACGCCTACGGCACTTTAGTGAATAGATAAACGTGAGTCAGAAGAGGCTTGACGGAGGCTCGTCTCCTGATCAGCCAATCCCTTCAGCCAGAATGACGTAAGATCACCTCAGCTTAACTCTTTTCAAATTACGTATTCGTACGCGCCATACGCTCTCTGCATTATAAAAATATTTAAATTCGCAAATTGTCGACACACATTTTTTTCTTTAATGAAAATTTCAAAAATAACCATTCTCGTTTTTTTTTAATTTTGATCCAAAAAAATATGTATTGTTATAACAAAAAGATTACAGATTTTTTGAAAGTTTTTCTTAACCTTTAGAGGGCTGGTAAATTTGTACAAATTTTAGTAGGTTTTTGTTAGAAATTTATAAATGAGAAGTCAATTCGATAGATTCGTTAAAATAAATGCTGGGCACTATAGTGCCAAGCCCGGACCTCTAAAGTTTAAAACATAATTTTTATATTGATACCAAAAATTTGGATCAATTCGTTGTAATTTGATACTTTTATAAGCTAACATTATTTTTTTTGTTAATTTTAGATTGGATCGAATAAAAAGCGATTTGTCGGAATAAAAAAAAAGGAGTGATGATCCGAACATCAATTCAAGGCAATAACAGAACTTTATTATTAATTCTTTTAGAAGTGAATTCTTTTCTGAGAATGAAGAAATAATTTTTACTCAGATGACAGTTTTTTCTTTTTTAAAAAGTACGTTTATATATTATTATGATGAAAAACTAGAGGAAAATTAAATATTTATATATACATATAGCTGAGACGAAGGTTCATTTTAGAAACTTTGTTCCTGTCTCAATGTCTATCAAGTAATAAGTCGTGCTAAAGTGATTTTGACTGCTTAAGAAGTTACACGTCATTAGACTTTAAAGTTTCGCAGAAACTTTAATTAATTTTGTAAAAGTGAAAAGTTAACGGATATCACATTTTCCACTCTTTATGCAAATGAAAGTAAATTTACACAGTACAAGGTTGTAATCTTCCCGGAAAGATATAATATATTAAATTAAATTTGTTAAGTTCTTTTTTACAAACAGATATTAAAGAATATTAATTTATATCTAAAAGTAAATTTTGAAATAGTAATAATAATATAATAACTATTATTTTATAGGCATTTTTTTAAAATTAATTTTTTTTTAAATAAAATTTTTTAAGAATATCAAATTGAGACGAAAAATGTTGCAAAAATATTGCAAAGCAATATTGCTTTGCAATATTTTTGCAACATTTTTCGTCTCAATTTGATATTTGCAGAAAAGATTTGATTTCGAAATATTTTGAGTCAATTATTTTTGGGTTCGAAAATTTGTGACACGCTCTGAAGAAAAATGCCTAAGAAGCAAATGATTTTAAGGTTATGTTTGTGATATTTTTACCTTATTTGAAAGTTTTTGTTTAATTGAGTAAAACTAAAGACGAATTTTTTACTACTTTTATAGTAAAACATTTCTGGTAACTTTTACTATTTTTATAGCAAAACATTTCTGGTAACTTTTGCTACTTTCGCAGTAAATTTTGCTACGTTCGAAGTAAATTTGACTAATTTTTTACAAATATGTTCTTTGAACGTAGGAAAATTTACTCCGAAAGTTGTGAAAATTACCAAAAATGTTTTTACTATAAAAGTAGTAAAAGTTACTTTTATATTTTTCTCCGTGATGAATCTTCATTCCGAGAAGTACAAACCGAGAATTTTTTAATTCCTGTATCTTTCTTCGGAGCGCGTCACATATTTCGAAATTTAAATTAAAGTTTGTAATTTATGTTCGAAAAATAATAAAATTAATTTAAATAGTCAAAACTTCTCCCTCGCAAACATTGTTAACTTAAAAGTTCGGATGTTCTTCGGTATCAATTTGATACTTTTTAAAAAAAAACTGTGAAGAAAGAACGTACCTAAGAAGCAAAAAAGAAGAAATTTTAGGTTTATAATTTTCGTGGTACAAGTACAGAAGGAGAATCAATAACAATTAAAAATTATTGGTTCAAGTATTAATAGCCAATAGAAATTAGTTTCAAATAAGGAACTTTTAATTTCTATAAATACCACAAACATAACCTATAAGCTTCTTAGATACCTTTCTTACGATCGCGTAACAATTTTATTAGTTTTATTAATTTTATTATCTCCTATTGGGATCCGAAATCATGTGAAACTGACCCACCCCTGTACCCACTTGCGTCCGACATCTTGGTTTTTTATCTCTTTTTTTTACATATGTTAGAGAGAGACGAAATGAAAAGACAACTACCGCAAGTGGGTCGACACCAGAGGGCCTACGCAGCTCTGCGGTTCCCAATTAAGTAAGAGCAAAAAATGCCATTTGTATATATTTATATACAGATAAACACACATATATTATGATTTTTAATTTTATCTGAAGTGTATAATTTTTTTTTCCAAAATTAAGTATACGTATCATTATTTTTCTCAAATTCTCCTCGTGGTCTTTCAACGATAACAAAATTAAAATTGATAATTTTTTTCTATATTTTTGTAACATAATAATCAACACAATAAATTATCGAATAAATGAAAAAAAGCGCACGTTTAGTGTTTTTGCAAAATTTTCGAGATATATTTAGGAGGGTCATACGATTTCAAATATGATGAGTTATGTAATTCTTTAGTACAAAAAAAAGAGGAAAAAAAGTTCTAGAAATATAAATTGTGTAACCGGAGTGTAAAATAAAATCTGTTATTACGCGATATATTTGAAAGTGATATTGATAATATCACTTTTTTTTTGGGCATTTCTTTTAAAAGTTTAACATTTTAGTAATGTTCGCAGTGTTTACTTAAAACAAATTGCGAAAAATTGGTAGCAGAAATTTTTGCGAAATATCATTTTCACGAATTGTCATTTAAGCGAACTGTCATTTTTTTCGAAATGTCACTGTTGCGAATTGTCATTTCGTAAAAATGGCAATTCGAAAAAATGGCAGTTCGCATAAATGACAATTCGCAAAAGTGACATTTCGTTAAAATAACAGTTCGGTAAAATGACAGTTCGGTCAAATGCAATTCGGTAAAATGACAGTTCGGTCAAATGACATTTGGGGAATAATCATGCGCCTCTTAATTCTTTTCTTTCTAAATCTGAAAAAGTCATTGATTTCAATTAATATCTGGGTTGCCGCACTAAAGTAAGCATTCGTAGTTTTTGTAGATTTTTGGAAAAATCATTAGAATTGCATGAAAAAAATTAGGAATTAGAAAAATCAGTTGATTTTTAAAGCAAAATCTAGATCTAGTGATATACTGACATACATATGCAGAAATATTTGCGTATTTACGGTTGGGAATCAGTGAAGTTTCGCTAATTTAGAATAAGAAATTATTTCTGATTTCGGAAAATTTTTTTAATTACAAACATCTTTTTGTTTCAGGAAGAAGAACAGAACAAATAACGTTGAAGAAAGTAGTCACACGTAAAGAAGAAAGTAGCAGAAAAATAATGTGAGTAAAACTTTTCAGACTTTCGGTAATGGATTTGAATTCACAATTTTTCTAAGGATATCAAAATATTGAGTCAAAAAAAAAACGAATCAAAATGTTGCATCGGGCTTCGCAAAACATTTATTGCTTCGTTTTTCGGTTCAATTTGATATCCTTAGAAAAATTGTATTGTTGGCGGTACAGAAAGTAATGTTTATACTAATTCGTGAGGATAAGGTTTTAAATTGAAAACATGAATTTCGTAAGTTAGGAGTCGTGTTGAAAGTACGTCATCGTTAGCATTTTAGGGGTTTAGAAGAGGGTCGGTATTCTGACAAATAAGATTTGTAGTTCAAGGAACATAAAGGTTAGAAAGTGAAATTTGTAAAAATACAACACTTGAAGATTGGTGTAAATTATTTACGGTACAATACGAATTATTGCAAATTGTTTTCAAAATTTAAATGTGAAAAAATATTCCATTGAAAAAAACTTTTGGATGGCAAGCTGTAGTTTAAATTAAATTCGATTTACATCCTCATCATCTTAATGGAACTACAATCTTACAATTAACTACTTGACAAATGCATTACATTGTACTTCACTCTTCCCTAATAGGCGCAGAGCTATACAGTTGAAGTTAAATTTCGACGCAATAAGTCGATGACTTATACACTATAATACTCACATGATTCGAATGATGTAAAAAGGGCTTCATAAATAAATATCTAAAGGTCACGATTCTAATTTAGAATATTAGAAGTATTTAAGTATTAAACAAGGTCAGTAATGTAAGAACTCTCCCCTCTTCGATCCAGTAAGAAGTTACTTTAAAGTTTTTAAAAATTTTTTTTAAAATACTCAGTTGTATTATGGAAAATTTTTAACTTCAGTTCTTATCATTAAATTTTCGACCCAGCCATTATCATTATTAGGGGTTTATAAGATTGGCGTCACTTCAAATGATAAAGCTTTATTGAATAAGATACGAACATGAAAGTTCAGGTCAAGATCAAAATTCTTCTATAGACAAAAAAAAGAGAGAGAGAGAGAGAGAGAGATAAAAAAATAATACAAAAATACAATTTAAAAAAAATCAAAATATTTAATGTTGAAATATTAATTACAGATTAAAGTATTACTAGTCCAGTGTTATAAGATTTGAAAAATTGCCTCAGGTATCAAAAAAGCAATTATAGATATACAGTGTACAAGCAGTATTCTTTTATAATGTTCCCTGCAAGGAATATATTATTTCTACAAAAGGTGTTTTAAAATGTTACAATGTTAAAGATTTGTGACTTGAATTTTCGATGATTTAAAGTCGTTTAGTATGAATTTAACAAAAAATAATAACGCTTACAACATTCTTTCAGTAAATGTATATAATGATAATGTTTTGTAATTAATTTTTGTTTTATTTTGACATTGCTTTTACTTCAGAGAAATATTCATGTAATTTTGCGTATTATTGGTATATAGTAATAATACAGGTCATTACAATAATGTATATAATTTTACAATTTTTTTTTTCAAATTTAATTTACATTTGCTACTTTTTTACAAAACCGTAATATCTTGGTCACGCGAACTGCGATTTATTTTTTTGTTTGTTTTACAAGTCGGTTTATATACAGTAAGAAAAGCTATCCGTCAGTCATAGGAAAGTATGGGAATCGCATAAGTCTGTCTCACTCCCACTCATGGGATATGACTGACGTGGTAGGTTTTCGTACTGTATACGTTCTTGCTTTTTGAGAAGAAAAAAAAAACGCGATATAATATTTTATCTTAATCAGACAATTATTGAGTATTAAATAATTTTTTTTTTTAAAGACCATGTTGTATTTACATAATGTTGTAAGAGTTTTCTTTTTTGTGGGTTGATTAATTAATTTGATTATAAAGAGCATGTTGAATTTGTTTTTTGATTATTTGTCGCGCTTTGGAGCTCGCTTTGGAGAAAGGTGCGTAACAATCTTGGGCTTCTTAGGATTCTGGGAGAGGGTCACATGGTAATTTTTGAATTAAAATATTGTTTATTGTAGGCGGTAAAATGGTGGTGCGATATTTTTTAATTTCTTGTTAGAAAAAAGTCATTTTGTACCTTTTTTTTGTCCCTTGACGATTCACTGCAGTAAATTTCGTTCATTTGAATGTTGGAGAGTTTAGTGTAATATCTTTTTGTACCCGCATCAATTTAACAAGTTATAACTACTGTGTTGGCATAATTTTTGATTGACATTTCCAAAAGAATTTTAGACGAAATTCATTAGACGCACGTTTCGCTAATCTCGGACCTTCTTTAATTTCGAGTTCTAACTGCATTTAACTGCACGAAACTGAGATTGTAAATCTAACTATTCAAAACCCAGATTTATTTGTTAAAATAATTGCTAAAAATCAGCGGTAACCAGTGGCTAGCTGAAAAATCTAACAGCCAATCAAAGTACATTGTCAGAAAAGCAATTTCTTTTAAAGTACCCAGCATAAATCTTAGATTAGTTTAATATATTTAAAAGTTTAGCCCACTGAAAAAAATTGAATCCAACCCCGAGATTGAATGATTCAATGAAATTGTAAACAAGATCAGATTTTTTCGCCTCTTTTTTTTTTTGGTGAAATGTATAGTGTTGCATCTTGAGAGTTGAAAATGAGGAGAAAATTGGCAATGAGAAAGGGGGAACTGCTCCCGTGGGAGCTGTGGGTGTATACGATAGCGAGGTGAAGGAATAATATAAAAAGGAGAGAGAAAAAAAAAAAAAAAAGACCGTGATCTCTTACACGTGCGCAGATGCGCGTTATTTTGTCGGCATGTGCGTGACGTTCCAAGCACGATTGAGCACGGTCTTGGATTCCGAGAAGCAAATCAGATGTGTGTAGCTCCTTCGGGTATATAATCAGGGGAGGATTTCTTTTGGAATTTTACTGCTTGATACAAGCCTAATTGTCCCAAACGGTAATTATGATTGATGATCTGCACTTGGCGAGGCTGCACAAGGTGGCCATCATTAAAGATTATAATGCAAGAGGCATTAATCAAGATCGCTAAAAATCGTTTCCAGGACCTTAGAAGGGCATACATACCTATGATGTTACCCCACATAGCCATTTTTCGCCTTGGAAAATTCTTCAAACCGGTTGTTAATGCACTTTTATTCCGGTATAAAATCTCCCCATTCAATGTGAGAATTTTTTAAGTGTTCACTTGATAAATGCTTATTTTGCTCAGTGTATTCCTAACAGGATGACTATATTATACACTCGGGGAAATTCATCTGAAATTTCAACATTTTTTTTAAAACGCACAGCTTAACAGCTCGTACTGTTTTTTTTTTTTTTTTCCAGTGAAATAGAGTTGTCGAAATTTTCCTAATACTGTTTCTATGAATAGATTGGGTCATTGCCATCGATGTCAGTATTTTTCCACAAGTTTACTATCACTGAAAATTTCCTTCCACTAATTTTCATTGATGAATCATCTGTGTGATTTGTATGAATGGTATAGATATGAATTGTATAAAATTTTCCACACAGGTGTTTAGGTTGGAATTTTTATTACGTATTTTAGTGTATGGACATACCAGTAAAATTCCCCAGATATATTTCAATCTGTTAAAAATGATTCCATGAAGAAAAGATACTAATCGCGCACCATCAGTTAAAAAGGGGTTCCTAGAATTGTGATGGTGTCAACTTCATTGATTGTTGTCAATTTTAAGGTCAATTAAATTTTTGAATCTTGTTTTAATGAATCAGTGGAGGAATGTAATTTTTTTTTTTTTGTATTATCATCATCATCATCAGGACACCCAAGTGCATTCGTAAAGTGTATCCCTATATGGCGATTAATTTTAATAGGGGATCACCTTCTTTTTTAATATCTCCGGCGTTTACGTCATCGCCCAAGGTTTTATTGCTTCTGATGACACCCCGTTATCGCTGATATATAATACCACCCATATATACTCACATATAGGACGGGATTTTAAGTCTTTTGGTAATGGACAAGATATCGTTGCGTGCGTCAATTTCAATTAAGAAACTGACCGAGCTGTTAATAGTTTCCCCCTTTCGGAAAGGATCATGTAAAGAAGATTTAGGTCCAAATGACGTCATAATATTTCGAGGAATCAGATACAGTGGATTTGATATCGTGGATTATTAAATCGGTTCAGTTATAATTATGCATTTAATAGTTGTATTCTTTATGTTGTATATATGCAATACACCTTGACATAATTTATCATCGAGTTTTTTTATATTTCATATATTTATAGTTTATTTTTCTTTTTTTTCTCTCTCTCTCTCGATAATCTTATGTGGACGTCAATGAGATAAGAGAGACAATTAATTTAACTCGCGTGTGATAACTGAATCATCATTCAACTACTATAAACTGTTTGTAAATTCGTTAATTTACAAACTATTTTTTAAAAAAATCGACAGGTATGTTTATGCGCATATAATCGTCAGGTAGAAAAGGTGATTTAATTTTATTAGATAAGATATTAGTTTAGTGCGCCTTTTGAAAAAAGGAACATGGTGATATATTGCGCTTTCGCGAGAGTTATTTTTTATCTTCATAAATATTTTCAAGGTTCAATAATAAATGTCTTTTATGTCATTAAGCAGGTGAATGTACTTTAGAGAGGTCAAAACAATTTAATTTGTCACGTTTCACGCATTCCTAATATGAGTTTCATTGCTTCCGAATAGAATTCCACGTCGATATTATCATTATACGTACTAATAAAAGAAAAACTGACCACGGTTAATTTTTAAACATGTTTATATAATGAAGAAGTTTCTTTCGATGAAATCTTCTTTTTTTTCGATAATGAATTGGATTTCATATATATATATATATATATATATGCAATTCAAGAAACTATCTGTGTGAGATAAGTCAGTGCCATCGTGAAGTTACAACTTGAAATGTTGGTTTTCGTCTGCAATTACTGA